TAATAAAAGCATTCTCTCGTTTAAATATATGTTCTAGAATATTCTAGATGAACTATAATTTATGAGTTCAAAGAATGGTCACACAAAATCAGTCATTAATTTAATTATTGAAAAAACATTTAATAAGTAAATATACTACCCAACATATACAGTTGGTTCTTGCTATAATACTTTCTGAACGCATATAAATACATGCTGCAAGTCACTAAGCACGCTACTACAAAAATTAGGACGGATAATAATTTTCGTTTGTACCCCGCCATAGTCGCTATGGCGTTATGTTTCAGGGGATAACTCGGGAAGTGCGGTTGGGATAGGTCAGGGGTTCACTGGTACACTGGAAAAGGAAAAAATATAATTAATGACAACGCAACCACAATTTGATGGTTTTAAAAAAAATAAAGAACTTAAGGTGCGATTCCGTCTGGTGCAAATTTTAAAGTTCACATTTATAATATTTGACGCCCTTGGTGGTCTAGCAATTTAGCACTGATGTTCGCGGGTTCGATTCCTCGCACTCATACTCATGAATACAAATGTTCGAACCGTGTAAGTATTTGTAATTCTGAGTGTTTTCTATGTATAAAATGATTAATATGATGAAATGATGCTCCCGCCTGCTCAAACGATTTACGCTTGCGGGGCACCAGTGGAATATGATGAAATAAACATGATGTCAAGTTAGTTAGCCCATCTTGCCAAATAGCAATTTAGCAATGGGGTTGCCATTATCAACAAACCCATTCTCCCCACAGACGTATTATTATACACGGGTATTAGGCTTAAAAGGTAACACGTTCTACGTAACGTACATATGTATCGAGAACATACACGGCATAGCACGCAATAGCATACATTAGCAAAAGTATCTACATATGTGAATACATTAACAAAATTGGGGTGCATGATAATTAAACTCTAAGGTACCTCAATGTTCTATACTAAACGCAAACACACCACACTTTAACCGTAAACAGAAACATAAAGTTCTAAATTCGACTGTATCTATCTTATTACTAATATAATAATTTTACTAATCCGAACCGATTTTGATAGTTCTTTCTGAAATCGATAAAATATTTCCGTGCCTATTTCTACAATTTTGTCACGATCGAAGATTGGGTTTCTTGTGGAAATTTTAATTCATAACATTAAAGATCGGCCACGCTGCTCTAGCGGTTTAGCACACTGCCTTGCTGCCAATGGTCGTGGATTCGATTCCTCGCACTACACAAACATTCATGAGTATGATTGTATACAAACAATCATACTCATGAATGGTCTGGGTATTTTCTATGTAAAATATGTATGTATTTATATCATATTATCATATTATTCTATGTATTTGTATCAATTATCTAGTACCAAAACAGAAGCTTTAATTAGCTTAACTTGGGACTAGATGGCACTGTGTGAATTGTCCTGAGATTATTATTATTATTAAGATCAGTCATTTTGGCGCTACAAGGAAAGCTTAGAGAAGTAATAACTATAGCTAAAGAGAGAGAATCCATCGGTACCGCATGTGATAGAACGTAACAGCAACATCCAGCTATGTTGCTGTCACTTTCTGCATATCATTAACGTAAACGATTTAAAAAAACAACTTTGTGGTCATCATCATCAGAATTTCAGTCATTCACAATCCGTTATCCGCACTATATAATTGACGGCCTCGGTGATCAAGCGATTTAGCACACCGCCTTACTTCCGATGGTCGCCAATTCGATTCCTTGCATGGTACAAACGTTTGTATTCATGAGTATGATTGTTTGTATCGGTCTGGGTGTTTTCTGTCTATATTATGTATGTACATATTTACATACATTATATTACCCATAATAAATGCGCTGTTAGGGACTGGCTGAGATATTATTATAATCAAAGGTCATTTTACGGTCAGTCATATCATGTGGATTACGTGGTTGTCACTGAAGAATCTTTTAAATAATATCTTATATCTAAAAGAATCCTATATATAAAATTCTCGTGTCACAATGTTAGTTACCATACTCCTCTGAAACAGCTTGGCCGATTTTTACGAAATTTTATATGCATATTCAGTAGGTCTGAAAATCGGCTACTATTTATTTTTCATACCCCTAAGTGATAAGAGTTGTCCACCCCTAACATTATTGTTTTATTTTTTGGGCAAAATTAAATATAACCCTAAATTTTCACCCTTCAATCCCCAACCCCTATTTTTTTATAGCGTTATCAATTTATATGGCAAAACAACGTTTGCCGGGACAGCTAGTATTACATAAAAATGTTACTGTATATTTTTATTAGATTAATAACTACGTAATGGTGAACTCGCCTGCGCCAACAGTAGAAGAAGACAGGTCAGTTAGCCCATAGTGGCGAATTTACCAGAAATTGACCTTGCATGTTACATTGCTAACAACTAGGTCATTAGTCCCAATTAAGAATCCTCTCTTTCTATAACTACATTTTATATAGCTACTTATTTTTACCTAATGACAAATAGCGTCGACCCTAATATCAGAGTCTGCGACCCCAACAAAATAGGGTCAAGAATAAAAAAAACCACTTAGGAATTTCGTAATCAATCACACTAGAGCTCTGAATCAGACCTAGAGGTTCCTGAGGGTCAACTAAATATGTCTACACTACATGAATCATTATCATTAATCAGCAGTAGTGGGGATACCTGCCTTGAGAATGAAATATATTAATGGAACTATTTCATTAGTACTTAGCACAGAACGTATCTATACACTTTTGTTTTATCACTATATTTTTACTAGCTATGCCCGCGATTTCACCCGCATTAAATTTCAATAAAAAATATAGACTGTAAAATTTCATTAAAATCCGTTCAGTAGTTTTTGCGTGAAAGAGTAACAAACATCCATGCTCACTAACTTTCGCATTTATAATATTATTATGATTAGGATATATCATACATAAATGACGTATATTTATCCAGCCAGTTGTTAATACATATTACGCATAAACAATTATGTAGGTTAAACTTTTAAATCTTTGTCACAGACAGATTAGTGATTATTACAACAAAGAACTAATATAACTAAAATGGTTATTGTAACAAGCAAAAAATATATAACGTTTGTGTGTGTGTATATATATTACTTAGTTCAGACTCCAGACTCTCACAAGGAATAGCTTGTAAGATTAAATACATACTTTTGTTACTTTGTTTAATATTGTAAGTTTCCTTGTGAGCAGTAAATAAAGATTATTATAATATTATTATTATTATTATATATATATATCTGTGTATTTTATGTAATGATTATACATATAATATGGACTATAATACCAATAACAATGCCAGCATCCAACAAATGGAGATTGTTTCTAAACACTCCGAAGCTTCTTGACTATTATTAAATATATGTTCTTGGTTCAATATCCTTATAAATTTAAATAATAAAGAAAACATACATGTCTCAATAACATACTGTATTAACTCTAATTAAATTATTGGAAATCTACTTTAAAGCTTTAATCTTAAGTAAAAATTTCCGACACATTCTTATTTGCTACTATTATTTATTAGAAAAAAATATTCCCAATTTATATGAATATTTATCTAAACAGTTATTAAGACATAATAACATTGTCTATATGTGATAATATCTATAGACTATAAATAATGCATAGATGATATAGAAGAAAGACACTCTATTAAGTTGTATAGAGGAATATATTTTTAGAGGCAAGAAAGTAAAAACAATGAAGATGTTATTTACAGAATTATAATAAAATAAAGTTCAAAGGAAACCTCATTTTGGCACTGGTAGTGTCTATCAATATTAAACACTGATAATAGAGGGACTAATAGAGAAACCCTTTGTACGACAGACACTGGTATATACCTTAACTCGTAATATAATAAAAATTGTCTTTACCATACTAACAACTTGACACAAAAATTTGAAATAACTAAATTAAAAATAGTTGTCTTGTTTAATTTCAAAGGAAAATAAACTTTAAAATATTTACAAATTATAATTTACCATTATTATAGCCTTGATATAAACATTCAATGTTTAACAAACGTAAATAACTATACAAATATACTAACAATTTAAGAACATGTAAACCTCAATGCTGCTAAGTATATCAGTGACATGTATGATAAGGGGAATACTATGATAATTTTTTACTAAACTAATATGCCATTTGTAACGTAAAATGGTAGATATTAATATAATTAATGAACATTATATTATAAATAAAGTTACCTGTGGCATATTACATACCTACTGCTTACAATAGGATGGTATTAGATTAAAAAAAAAAATATTAAATAAAGATTAATATTTGTTATGTAAAAATATAGTATTGTTTAGCTTTATTATGTAACTTCTTACTAATTCAACTGTTTTTTAAACACTAATATTATTTCATTTTATGATAGAATTTAAAAATGGAATACTTAAATTCCATAAAATAAACAATATTTACTTCAATAAACCTAATTAAAATAATACTCACAGATTACAAAAGAAACAAAACATTATTATTGCCTATATAACTTTATACTGTTTTTATTGTTTGTAGGACAGTATATATACTAGAATGCTACCTGTTTAATCAACAATTGCAATGTTTACCTAATATTATAATTTATTTTTTATAAAATTGAGTCATATAGATGAAGGATCTGGAAGGATGACCCAATTTAAATTGGTATATGATTATATAAACATGAAAATGTAATTAATATTGAGAAAAACAATAAAAAAAACAACAGTTTATACAGTAAAAACATTAAAGAGAATAAATAAAGCAGCAAATCAAATATACAGGCAAGTTTTAAATTAATTAATGAAGTATTTATGTATATCTATTAAAACCTAGTCTAGAAGGCTCAGTTTTGCACAAAACAGTTATAGATGCGGAATTTCAATACAGGTTCAAGTTTATGCTGTCTAAAATTAGAACACCTGGAACCAAACATATATACGCGTTGTACGATTACCAACTATTTTAAACTATTCACTTACCTTTACGATCTAGTTCCAGGCAATTTTGGACAAGTTGCGTCAAAATCAGGACGAAATTCTTGCAAAAAAAGTCTATACAGAAAAACCGCACTTATTATTTATAACATTCACGTCTCGACAACACAAACGTTCACGTGCTAACAAATTTAGGATATTCTAATGTAATTTTTTACACCATCCAAATAATAATGCAGTGAAAGTGCGATATTTAATAGCAAATGCGGTAAACAGAGACGTAACGATTACCATCTACCGCAAACCGCATTATTCAACTGAGTGACGTTTCATTTCATCGAAGCAGAGAACATTGCCAGAATACAATTCTATTTTACTTGACAGATACATTTAGATATTTATACAGGGCTAAAAATTAAACATTTTTTATTATTAGACTTGAATAGATGTACCTACAATGTTTATTATTATCTGGTGGCAAGAAAAAAATAGTACAACTGGAAAACTCATTAGATGTATATTAATTAATTTAATTGGATTTAAAAGTTACCTATAGCAACATTTATTAAATAAGTTTAGCATCATTAATTAATATAAAAATTTAACAATTTATGTATAACAAGAGTTATATTGCAAATTTACAGTACCCTTATTTTGGGTAAAATATTCCCAGCGAGTTCAGATAACACTGGAACACGTTTGTGTTCCGTTATACGCATATAATTATTACAGCAAAGAAGAATACAAAAAAATGACAAATCTATACTACCTCTACTTTCTTTTTACTCCATTTTATATTCAATTCAGTAATATTTTCTTTGTACGGATTTACATTAATTAATAGGTGAGTATATAAATTATGCAGTGCAATTGAGAGCAGTTTGTATTCCACATTGCACAAACCATCGCCTTTTTGCCTTGACCACGATGTTTTTAAAAGTTCGTACCTGAAATAAAAAAAGTCAATGCAAAAGGTGCCATATTAATAATTAAACGAAATATTAAACATGTTGTGAAACACGTATAAAACATTACATAATATGTGTGTGAAAAAATATAACAACAGAAATTATCTCAAATACATATTCTGAATTTATTTAATATAAACCTAGTATAGAACTGTGCTATTAATTGTAGTAGATATCAGGTATACACTTCAATACTCCAACGATCGTTCGTGCTCTCAGGTAAATGTATCTAGCCGTTGAAGCAACTAATTAACTATTATAATTACCTCCCTGTATTCACCTGTATTTATTTTGATCTTGCTTTGGATGCGGCAACATTTTAAACTTTGCAATTTCTTTGTTGTATCTCACTACTGGGAAACCAGCACGTCGCATTCTGGAATAAACAAACATGTTACACACAATTGTTATTATTATTATTATTTATAGGAATAGTTAATTTGATTCTTAATTTCGCCAACTGAAGAAGAACTAATCGGTAAATGATTTTCTATTAGTTCCCTACACAGAATGGCATTAAAAAACTAGGGCACAGCATGTTGGGCAAAGAAACGAACGACTCACTTTATCAGAACGTTCTTACCTCCAGAACATATCGTTATCTTCGCCTCCCCATCCCCAATATACATTAGAGTGACCATTTGCTTTTTTGTACTGCTCCACTGTCATTGAGGTCACACCGCCGAATGTAAATTTTGTAAAATCACTGAAAATTCAACAACAGTTAACAATATTATATATGTATCTGTAAGTAACACCACTTTTCTAGAAAAGAGTAAAAGTTTGAAGTGAGATAAGAGGTCATTTATTTTTCCCGCCAAAATTAAGTTCCCTTCAAAACATTCATTATGCGTTATCAGCGTGTTGGAGTCTTTTTTTTTTATTTTTTTTACTTTTTTGGTAAAGATTTGGGACCTATTAATAATGGTTTGTAAAACCTAAATCAGTAGGAATCTGTCAACTACTATTTTTTATTTATTCTCGAACAATATTATGCTATCTGTGGCCGTAGTTAACCTTTACAGCTTCACCGGATGAATATCGCTGTTCATTGGTCTCGCTAAAATAATAAAATATATTTTTTATTCATTTATTTGTATATGGTAAGAAGTTAACTGGGTAGTTTAGTGGGTATTGTAATGAAATCCTAACATTTTATGACGCCTTTCTACTGGCGTAATTGTTGCTACATTCTTTGAAAACGAGCCAATCGAACGTCGTCGTTGGCATGAGCCGTCTGGTCTGAATGTGGTACCTAGTACATATAAGCCTGTTCTTACATATCAGTTTTGTTGACGATGTTTGCACACATGTGCCTCGGAAAGGTCGGGCAGGTGTACAGGATCCTGGAGTCAGTTGGCAGCAAATCCACGTCGTGAAACACCACACAGTTGAAGGTACCGAACTTTTGCATCTCGATGAATCCCGCGTTGAACAACCGACCTTTATTAATGGGTTCGACTCCTTGGGAAACAATATTAATTTATACAAATGTATAGAATTAAGGTGTCTGTTTGTAATTTAAAATAATAGCTTTTAGCTAAATTATAGTTTTTTTTTGTAGATGATAATGGAATGGTGCACCCGTCTGCGCTTTATATTAGATCAGTTCAGGTAAGACTTTCATACAATTCGGACAGTGCGGTTTCAGAGGAGCTTTCAGACCAGTCAGGTCCAGAGGCTACGGTAACCGTTTACCATCAGTTGGGCCGTGTGTTTGCCACCTACGTGGTATAAAAAAATCAATCATTAGTATGTCTGTATTGGTCGCAGTAGGTATTTAAGTTTTTCTGTCAGTTGTTACACCCATTAGTCACATAACAAAAGCTTGGACTGAGTGAATTGTCCTTGGATATTAGTCTAATTCTTAATAATATAATCTATAGGCAGAATTACCACTTTGTTCGAGAACAAATATCCTGTACTCCAGCTTCTGGTTCATTAGAAATGGATGTATATTGTACAGAAACGCAGCCAAATTCTCCTCTCGGTCTCTACATCAAAGTTTTTTAATAATCATAATTAATAATATAGTTAATTTGGTCATCTTGATAATTAAAATACAGTAAAAGTAAGGTAAAGTATTACATATAATATTGACATTGACATATCTACAAGATACTAAGTAAAAATGTGTAGTTAAATTAAAATTATTTGGTACACATTTAGAGAATAGGTAAGTAACGTTAGTAAGTTACTTATTGACTTGTATTGTTGTTTCTTAATTACAAATTATAAGTACAAAGTATTTTATTAAAATAAAAAACAACGTAATAAATATGCAGTGTAAATGCGCGGGAAAGGAAGAGAGTTGGACGCAGAATAATGTTGAACTATTATAGTCTTAACCAAGACTGTCACTGACTGTCTGTCTGTTTTGGAATTTGGTCCAGTAAATAACAGTGAAAACTCAACAGACGTCTACTTACCTATACGGAACCAGTATCGAAACTTTATGTCGTGAATAACAATCTTTAGGAATGTAATATCCGCCCTTTGGGACATTATTGATATCTGTTAATACTTTACCGACGTTATCATTTATTTTGATTGGACCTAAAATAAAATTAACTACTTGTAAAAATTAAATAATCAATCAAAATACCGCTACATTTATTTTTTTATCAAGAATGGCTTAGAAGTTGGCGGCCCATCTGTTGATAAGAGGCCATCCAATCATCACCTCTAAAGCTACCTACATAAACAGCATTACGAGCGTACATTATATATACATTATAGGCTTTCTCAATAGATGATCTTTCCACCATAATAATGATTTTTTTATTTAAACTGATAGTTGATAATTTTATTGCGATCAACTTAAAAAACACACTCTTTATAAGTTTAGTAATTGTTATGTCTATTTTACAATAACATAAAAACAGATTACAATTCATTAGAAAACAATAAACTTGAAATAATGAAATAATAACAAAGCTGTTGATACCTCGAATAACAGTTTTTATTTTATTGGGGGGTTTCGGCTATTATCAGGTGCTTAGACCTGTAGCACTACGTCCTATATAGATCTACAGTGCTCGCCCTTTTTCAGAGTACGCTACCCGACCCGCCAAGGACTAGAATTGAAGGATATTTTTGGGCTACAAACACATAGAATATATAGTGGCGTTTCCTCTTAAGCATGACAAGTTACCAATTTGGATTGAATTACATAAAAATAATCCGAGACATGACAATAGGACATATGACATACAAGCTACATAGTTATAGTAGGGTTAGCATCCTCCTTTCTCAGCATTTATCCTAGTTTAGAGGGCATCCGGGGAGCGTCCGGGGTAATGTGTTTTTTTAGGTTTAATATTAAAGTATATGAATAATTAGTTTTTTATTTTAAGAACAAACAATCCAACTGATTATTAAAACAATTTGTAACAAACTGTAATAAGATTTTGTTTTGTTAAGGTCATTTAAAATTATGATAAAAAATTACTACATTTAAATTCAAGATCTGAAAATAAATAAAAAGGTTATTTGTGATATTTTAATTGTTTTTTATAACACTGTGTTTAAAAAAACCTGTTGACATGTCCGGGTTCTGTATTCCGGGGTTTTCAGGAATCTTGTCCTGGTTTCCAAATCTTAAAGATGGCAACCCTACCTATGTATAAAATATGATATATGCTGACTGCCCTATCTGGCATAACAGTTGTGACTGTAGGTATTTGTGTTTTCTTAAAAAGCTTTAATGTTCACAACTGTGTTTACAAACTGTGTTTCAAACTTTAACTCCATAACATTTCCACAATGTGTACAGATACAGATACAATACAGATAGTAAGCACTTGACCACAGATATACAAGTTATTTGCTTACCAAGTCGACTTCTGTTTAATATGCAAACAGGTAATTTATGGACATTAACAGGTTCTGAAAATTAAATATCAATAGGTATATTATATATATATTTGTTTACTGACCCTTACTCGGCAACACCTTGGGATCTGTGACAGTCAATAATAATAATTTATTTATTATCTAACATTACTAAAATAGAAACTAAAATATAATAAAGTATAATTAAATACAAATCCTCCCTTCCCTATACATAGGTAGATTCCATGGACTCACTGTATGTGTAGTTGTGTGAGCCTACCAAAAAGGATAGAATCATTTCAGTCTACAATCAATTTCAGCACACTGTTTGAAAATGAAAGTCTACACCTGTAATACTTATATAAATAGATAGACACCTCTGATCTGGGACTTCGTCTGCACACACACTCGTCCCCTATTTCACCTCTTCTAGATTATATTTTGAGATAAAAGATAACTTACATCTATCTAACCTCATATATCAATAGTCTCCCTGAACAGTGTGTACAGACAGACATCCGCATATATAATAAATTTAAAATACTATTTTTGTTATTCTAATCTAAACACTCAAACTAGTCATTTATGTGGTCCTACGGTCGCATGAGGAACACAAGATATAAGTTAAAGTGTCGTTTCTTTATGGGATGATAATGATATGGTAAAAAGTCATCACTTTTTACGACGAGGATGAAGTAGAAAGGACAGCTAATAATGGCAAATACACCAAGAATTAACCACCCTTGATTTTTGGGGCAACCCCGTAGAGGTCTTATAGGATACATTGTTTGCAATTAGGACACTATATCCCATAACTATTAACCATTCCACCCAAAATTAGCTTTGTTGCGCGCTGATATCACCTCACCATTTCACCGTTGTGTATGTGTATGATGCGATGAGGTGTCGCTACATAATTTATATTTTTATTAGACTATCTAGGTAGTCAGTACACAAGTGATAAAATAGTATTATATGGCTTGCATATATATTTATATATATATTATATGGTGTGCTATATGGCTTATTAGTACCTAATACGTGTTAGCGTAGAGTCGTAACGTGGACTAACTTTACACTCAACTTAAATCTATGTTATCTGGATAGGTACTAATGAAAGAGTCTCGAGTGTTGACAGAAATATTACAAGTGTAGGTAAGAACAACATAGAAAGCTGTTGCAAAACAAGATACCTACTTTGTTTAATTCTTGATATTTTAATTACATCATGTATTTTAGTATGTTTTACTTCCTTCGTTGTCATACATGTATTTACTGGAGCATATTCTGTAGAGATTGTCACTTGTTGCTCTACTAGACTGTAGAATATATAATATTTATAAATTAAAAGCAATATATAGTATTTTTACAGGCCGTATTTTTTTGTTATTTGGATGGTGGATGGATAAGGATAATTGGATGGCATCCATGCAGATATGAGGTAACAGTCGCCTATAAATATATCTGTGCTTTTATACGTACATAAAAAGCAACACAGACATTACTTTATCATATGACGCCCGCCATGCATGCCTTAACATTCCAGAACACTAACATATCATGCCTCTTATTCTGTATGTATTTGTCTATGTTTCCTGTTTGTGTATATTTCTTATCCTGTGTGTATTTACTGAGCAAGCGTGCATGGCCATAGTTGTTCATGCACGGGATTTCCATTTAATTTTAGACATATACATTGTAATCAAACTGGTTTTTAAAAAAAATATCCAATTTAGTTTCTTATCAGTTCTTTTCAATTGGATCTATATACATAACTGGACGGTAGTGAGAAAATTAAAATTATAATGTAAAAATTTAACGTTTATAAGCGTTTTCGTTTATAAGTAATTTCAGCTGATGGGTGTCTTACGTTGGGCGCCAGATATGGACATGAAAATCTCAGGATTTATATGGTGTGAGTTAAAAGCCCTCTTATGGACAGCTGTTGTATTTTGTAAAATACTCAAAACCGCCCCGGATTGGTCGGCGTGTTCCTACAGTAGAGGCATTGTTGTAGTGATTGCCACAAGCTACATTTGAAATATTAATATAAAAAAAGCAAAATTTATCCGCTTGATGATAAACGGTCATTGTATATTGTCCCCAATAACAGTAGAGTCATTACACACGTACTTTCTTAAATAATTCTATAATACCTACAGCAGTTTTTAGAAAAAATCATTTCACAGAGTACTCAGTACTCCAAGTAGATGTCATATACTATCTTACTTGTCAATGTGCATATATTTGTTTAAAGTAACTTTTATTCAAAAGAGCAATACATAAGTTTCTTACACGTTCTTTTTGTGATGAGTCTGCGTTCCGAATGAGTGATAAAATAAAAAAATATGATTATTCAAAAGTGCTTGTGTTAAGTTTTTTAATAAAGATTATTTCTACTTCTATTTCTATCCATTCGAGGGGAGAATGCAACTATAAAATGGTCCTGAACGCAATATTAAGACACTATAATCTACATAACGGTGTATCTATAGTAAACATAAACAAAAATACTATTGGCGAAGATTATTAATTGGCATAGGACAATTTGATATGACAAGTAACATGTAAAATTACTCCGTTAATCTTCCTAAATAAATAAATAAATAAATAAAAATAGCTAACCGAACTCTTTTAATAAGCAACACTTGATTAGAAGCGCTAATGAAGAACATACAGTACAATATTGGAGCAAGTGTAAGCACAAACAACCACCGACGCCATAATACTTTGCGGTCGACCCGTTTATCCAGACAGTCGTTCAAAGATGACGGCCGATCTCGCTCTGGAACAAATTCTTTGTATGAAATTGAAATATAAACAAACCAACGCGCCATCCGATGGTAAATGGTGATCGTCATCTATATATATCACTTCATGCGTTGTCAATCCAGAAGACTAAGTGTCATGCCTCCATACCTTGTAATTTCACTACCATATCTTACCCTTCAACCGAAACATACCTTACAAATCTTGGTAAGTCAGGCAGAGGTACACACGCACATACAGAAAAAATACATTGAAAACTAGATTTCTATAAATTAGTCTATTTTCTGAAGGTATATATAGTAAGTATTACTAACTGCTTGTTAATTTGTAATTATCTCTACAATTATTTCCATCACAATTCTAGTCTACCGACTATTTCCACTGAACTTTTCTAATTCTTCTAATTCTAATATTAAATAAAGCGACCGCTTTATCTAATATTTAACAAATATTAAATAAAACCTCTATATTAAGTAGTACTATGTAATATTATCTGTGATAATATTAAACTCTTATTTTTTTTAATCATATTAGATAAATTATACTGAACTTACTATTACAGCACCTCGCCCAACAAACCATAGTAAATTTCCTTAAAAGCATGAATAAACACATTGCGTACATTATTTTATTCATTACTTAAACTTACTGCAACACGTGATCACATTCTGGACTCTGGTTAAACTTTATTGTAGTTTTGCTTGTGTTAAGTCACAAACAAGCATCGGATGTTGGCTTGGTTACAGTCGACGTTATTAATAACAGTAAACACTAACATTTTCGGACAACGTCGTGGAATAGTGGTTTACTAAACAAACTTAAAAGGCAATCGCTCCCAAGTTCGACCCTCTTCTAATCCAAAACATGTGCAACAGACTCTTTATGTAATATTATCTTGTCTGTGCTAATACAAGCATTATATCTTTACATAGTATAAATTGAAGTTAACGCTGATATCTGTTCGCTTATGTATCTTTTAAACTACGCAAAGGATTTTAATGCAGTCAGCAATAGAGTGATTCAAAAGGAAGGTTTATATGTATAATACATGTTTGTTATAGTACAGAACAAGCCGAGAAATTCAAAGATTTGTAATGTATCCGTTCGAAGCCGGGATGGGTCACGAGTGTGTGTGTGTCTTTTAATACCACATAAAAATATAAAAATATTTTTTTGTCGGAAAATGTAAAAAAAACTTTTTGGGGTGAGCCTCCCCTAACACTTAGGGATATAAAAATTATTTATAAACCTATTCTCAGGTCTACTGAATATACCTACATATAAAGTTTCATCAAAGTCGGTCAAGCCGTTTCGAAGAAGTATAACACGAAACCTGTGAGATGAGAATTTTATATATTAAATATACAACCGTCCCTGTATCTATAGACATCAGCTTCTTTTGTTTTTTCTGTCAGATAAAAATTATTGTAGATGCAAATAAAAAAATATAATGTATAAAATGAATTATTCTACATTTAGATCGAATCTGCGACTACCACAAAATAAAACACTCTGTTAAAATGCTACACGAACAATGTGCGTACGTGAGGAATAGCCTACGTCCATTTGAAGTTAATCGGCGCTGGCATGCTAAACTGCTAGACCGATGTCGTCATTACCTACATATAAATAGATATATGTATAGAGACAAGACAATACCAATTCAGTTGTCACAGAGTTATCGCAAGCAGAGACGCTTGTTCAATTGAGTCGGGAATTAATTTACTGGATTAGCCTCATCGTCTTGGATCCGGAGACTTCAGGAAATGGACGGATTCTAGTTCATTTGCTACGTTTATTCTGTCTGAACCTATACTCCTGGAGACATAATCCTTTTACACCTTTTCGATTAAAAATTAATTATATTTTAGTAGTGCACATATAAAACTTATTATAACATTCTTTATTTGAAATATCAATTAGGGGATTATTAGTAATGGGGATTACAGACCTTTGTCAGTTATTGATCCTATTAGTGATTTTCCTAGTTATCTACCACGTCGTGTCGACCTGACGTGGAGGAAGACCACAGATAAATTCCTAGTAAATTTGTTAAAACGAGCTCACAGATTTGACTTTATGTGGTCTCTATTATCTCACTGGTGCGCTCGTATACCGCTAGCACAGGCAGATGCACCATTTTATTATCATCATATCAGGATAAAATAAGATAAGGGAAAAAGAATATAATCCCCATATATAATAGAAATATAGACTCGAAGGTCGCCTGCGATAGATCCCCGCCCCGGTCCAATTCAAACGAGGGGTTTGGAGTGCCATCTGCATTGGTCCGGTGAAACTGTAAAGGCCAGCTGCGGCCAACAGCATTAGAATATTCCGAAAATTTTTTTTCGGACTCGAAGGTATTTTAGGTAAGCTATAAATCAATGTGTCACTTTATTTTTATGACTAACTATGCATAACAAACCACAGCGACGACGGTAGCGACCGTATTTGGGGCGACAATAAAAAAAATTAGTACATCATAATATATAAAATTTAATAATATAATAGATTTATATATTATATGAATAAAAAAAAATGTAGTGTCTATTTGTAATTTCATATTAAGAGTTTTTCAGTAATTGCTTATACATATTCGGTACATAAACAAATTTAATTTAAAACCTTTTTGTCTTTGTATTTATTCTTGATAATCACTGAAACGGCTGGATCGATTTGAACGAGACTTACACTCACAGTTAACTAATGTTATAAAGAGTAACTTAGGCTATTTTTATTTCTGAACCATTAATTATTTTAATGAAAAATATGTGTAATTCCACGTGTACGTAATCGTAGGTACTGGTACTTAAACTATTAATACTTTATGCCTTCTCTCCTTCTCCGAAAGGTTGTTATTAGAAGACATCTTATGCACATTTTATTAATAGAAGATCTTTTGTACCTTCATACTCAAATTTATGTTTTTTAAATTTAATGTTTATAAATAAATATTATGAACAAAAAATTTACCTATGAAGACCGATTAATTTTTATAACTACTTCACGCATTCACGCGAACAACGCCACGAGGTATACCTTGTATGAAATAAAAGCCAGATTTGGAATGGCATACTACGTGTCTACGACTACGCGAAACGGATATTGCAAATACGAGAGGGAGAAGCACTTTCAAGATTTAATTAAAAAGTAATTTGAATGCTATGCAATCACATAATTGTGTTGCGATGAATCACTCCGCCGACGTCATCAGAGAATATAACGATTCTATTTGCAGGTTTTCCACTGACAATCTACAATGCACACTTGCTCAATCCCTCAATGCACCCTGCATTCAGGGATTGAGCGTGCTCTAATGAAAATTGATATTGGCAAATGGAATTCCTGAATACGGTACATTTAGAGAAATCTATATTATATAGTTGACCCGGCAAACGTTATATTATCGTAGAAATTATTATTTGGGTATAGGGCCAACCTTATGTGCAAATTTGGAAGGTATGAGTTATGAATTGCAAATAGACTACAATTTATTTCTCAAACCTTTTAAATATACACCAAATATTTTATAAAAATCGGTCAAGCCGTTTAAGAGGAGTTCGATAATACTATGACATGAGATTGTTACATACTTATTAGATTATAAATTGGGAGTTTGTGTGTTTAGTTGGTTGAATTCAGGACCTCTTTCGAATAGAAAACCTCAGTACTTTTAGTACAGTACCGTCAGTCTTGTATGCATATCTAATGAGACTCAGACGAAGTTTATTAATATAAATTTAACAGTCTTTCTTTAATAAATATCTAAAAACCAATACAACAATACATAGAATAATAACAGCCAGAAATACAAATACAAATATTTGCATTCTATTTTCGAGTAGTTTGAATTCGAGTAGTAGTTGCCCGTTCCAACCCCAACCCGGAACCGGAACTACCGGAATGTGATGTATATTAAATTGTTGCATAACAAATCGTCAATAAAGTATTAAATTCATTTTTACAAAGAGATATTAATTAGCCTGGCAAAAGACTATATAAGATTTAGGTGGTTATAAGTGAGTTCCTAGGTAAGGTATGGTAGGTAATGTATATACATGTTCAGGTAAGTTTCAAGAAGATAAACGTACTACGTTTATAGGTAATATTATAATAAAAACATTCAATTCAAACACATAATAATGGTATTATTAAAACAATCGCTATAAAGAAAAGCTTTACGTGAAATTATAAAATTTGGACAGTTAGACCGACGAGACCATCATTCTATCATCCCCGTTGGTCCCCCATCAGGGGACCACCGCTGACCACCCTTAGCGCAAGGGTATATGAATGGTTTACGACATCACACCATTTCCATCCAAAATAATATTTATCAAATCTACCAAGAACATTTTGTCTGCTCTAATTGCTTTTTAGGAACAATTCTATTTAAATTCATCATCAGGACATTCATCGTAGACAGTAATGAAAATCGCTTCGCAAAGCTGCTAACGAATTCATTTATCACGAGTTAAAACGAGAACACTGCACTACACTGGAATGGAGTAGGGCATTACGTTACTTTACGTAAGTACAATAAATTACAGTTTATATCAATGGAATTGGATGTCGATAGTAAATAACGACGTGGAACAATAGTCAGTGTACCTACGTTTTAAAAAAATGTATCAAACTCCAGCAAATGTAAAATATAGGTAAATTTTTTAAAATCAGTTTAAAATGTTCCGATTTCAAGACTGAATGTACAAGACTTGTCTAATTACTTAATTTCATCCATATACCTAAATAGTTTAGGTACTTATTCCCAAAATTTAAAGACACTCATAATCTGAATACTCGAAAAAACAACAGACTTAAAATTAAGTCTGTTTTTTGTCGAGTAGAATAGGAATATTGAACAAAATATATTCATTCATGAATTAAAACGATGTTTTTTAAAAATGTAGATATTATTATTCAGTAAATTTAATGTTATGATTAGTGAATCAAAACAAAAAAGAATTTATTTATTAATTTTTCTCTAAATATTACCTATACGTGAAAACAACTCCAACAACACAAAAAAAATTTAAGACACCAAATATAAAATTTCATTGTCTTCGATAGACATAGAGATAGTTCACACGAATGAGACTCAAATTTAACACATAGATATACCTAAACTAAATATAACCAATAGAGTCTGAATATACATATTTTTTACCGGAGGTTTCTGCATCCAAACACGAGAAACTTCTCGACACATAAAGTTGCTATATCAGTATCCAGTACCATACATGTGACTAGACTTGCATAGTTCGCGAACTACCCAGTTCTAGCTCTGCTCTTTAATTCGTTTGATAAAATACAGTAAATAAATTTATATTATTATCGCCTTAATTACGATGGTCGCGGATTCGATACCAATATGCTAGCTAATATCAATATTTCGATACATTGTTTCGTATATACGTACCTACACAATATACTAATACAACGTTTGTACACGTACAAACGTCGTATTCATGAGTATAATTGTATCAGTCTGGGTGTTCTATATTATATTAGTATATTGTGTAGGTACGTATTTACGTACTTTAAATTCATTATCAATCAATAGATTATAAGTCAAACTTTTTGATTAACTGTTTGATTTTTTAACATGTTTAAAACAAGTCATTCTCTAACTCTAAAAGAAACAATGTATCGAAATATTGATATCAGCTAGTACCCATAACACAAGCTCTGCTTACCTTGGAATTGGATGTCGTAGTGTGAATTGTCTAGGGTTATTACTATATTATATGTATACATATTAAATATCAAACTTATTATTTTATTTTATGCAAATAAAGTGTTATTAGTATGATGTCGCCTATATATATTAAATTACGTTCCCATTCGAGACGAGTAAGAAATTATGATTCTCTTTTTTTGATTTCTGAATTTCACTGCTTAATCTGCTCCTACAGAGCAGAGATGTTAGTTACTTCTCTCTCTCTCTTCTGTATCTGCACCCTACAACCGAAATGCAGGTTACAAAGCAAGCTGGTTGGCGGTAAGAATAGATGAGTCTGAGATACTCACGCAGACGAATATTTACAGTTTATCTCTGATTGTTATAGAGCTCTTTTGCAATAAAGAGAACACATTTTTGTTAAATTAATACGGAAGTGAGACACTTTAAGCCTAAAAAAGCAAAAACAGAACAATATTTGTAACTGAAATACAAAATCACTTATAAGCCCAGAGGATCGCTGGCATACAACGTTACTTCACCCTGAATCTTGATCGTAAGAACGAAAGTTAACTAGAAGTAGTTCGCAGAAGAACGTGAACTACATTGAGCGCTCTGTGTTGCGAGCAAAACTACGTGACACTATTTTTAAAAATCCAACAGTATCACCAACATACGAATTTATAATAAAAGAGAATGAACACGAGAGTGAGTTAATATTGCCTTTTGTATTTCGTTTTTCTTATTTTGTACGTAAGTATTATGTTAAATTATAAATAAATGACTAGGATTTTAAATGTAATTGTTTAAAACTTGCGTCACAGCCCGATTGCTATCCGGGATGAGATAATCAGTATTTTATTCATTTATTTAAAAAAAAATGGAAATAAACGTCACAGACTATTTAAAAATTTTCAAAGATGTATAGTAAAGTATAAAATGTGAAGAAACATTGAGACATTAATAATAATAATTAATAACCTAACGCCATGAAGTTCGTTATTTTTCAAGTCACGCAGCGACTTAATTGATGCGATTATTGAATTAATTACTACTATTTATGTATACTTAGGTTCCTTACGATATAAACAAATACAAGAGAATAATGTTCTTATCCAATAATATCTGCATACAAAAAAGATACCAAAGAAAAATATTCTTTTATTAAAATAACAACAATTTTTATTACAATACAAAGTTGTTTGTCACGTTGTCTATATGTAATATAATATTATACTCAAAAGGCTAAGAAAAAAATTAAGAGTTAACCCTTAGGAGTGTTTCTAGCTATGGGCTTGTGCCAATTAATTATTGCGTACGTTCTAAATAGTTTGAAAATTTATAGAGTGACCGTGTGAATTATGCAACCAGGATCTAATTAAACTATGATCATAATTTAAGTATTATTTTGAGTAAAAATAAATTATAATGTGCAAGAAGATTGATATTATTTACAAAAAAACGTTACACATTATTTCGGTTAAATTAAGAACTGTAAACTTTTTTACTTTGTGCAATAACTTGCACACATTTGAATCAGTTACAAATTTACAAACATAAATATCCCCATTATCGGTATCTACCTCTAAGCACTTCATTACAGCCTTTACTTGTTGAACGTAAGGAGTTACCTTTTCTTCAGGGAGTAATACAAAGTTCCAGGGGAGACATATTTGTAATACATTCCATATAACATCTTGATTAACAGCGTACACTAAATTTGGATCTACTTGTGGCTCACTTTTGTGTTCTTCTTCTACATCCTCTTTTTCTGGAAGTTTCACGTGTACTGTTTCCGTTTCTTCTTCACATGGCTTGCAAATAAATGTAGTCTTAACATCTGTCGCAGATTGTGTGGTTTTACTTTTACTTGCAGAAATATTCTGTGTTTTTGGCAATCGGGCACTCTGAGTACTCTCAATTGTTTTGGCCTTTGATATTGTGCTCCTTCCTTTTTTGCCCTTTTTGTCAGACATTGAGAAAGGTTCTGTATACGCTAATTCTATAATTGTAGTACCTTCACAAGTATTTACTACATTAGTTATTAATTTGTCTAGAAATTGACCAGTACACTTAAGAGCACATGCTAAACATTCAGCTTTATATTTTTTTAGTTTAATCATATTGCACATAACTTCTTGACATTCAACTAATCTAAAACATATCTTTTTCCCAACAGCCATTGATAAAGCTGTAGAAAATCCTTCTATAGGGTCAATACTTTTACAAAACGCTAAGAGAAACGCAGAATAATTCATTTTATTTTGAGCCGTTTCAAATAATTCAAACAAGAAATGTTTCGTTAAATTTTTTCTTAGTTGGCTACATTTGTCATTCGGATCAAAATCTTGTTCGAACCAAAGCTCTTCAATGAGAAAATCATCTCTAGATATGAGCTCAGTAGAGTCGAGGTCGGTGCATCGAAAGTTTCCACGCACTTCCAATAATTCACCTAAAACCGGAAATCTTATGTTCAAACAATAAATAAGAAATTCTCTCCAATCCACATAAGTCGTATCCCCAAACAATAGATATACCAATTTAGGAACATGTTCTGGATCCAAACGCTTCCATGCTTCTGGAAATAGAGGACCTTCACATGATTCTTTCCCAAAGAAGATGAAATCTTGTAATAAATATATAAAAGCTTGCTGTAATATAATACCAGTGGGGGCAACGATTTTGAATTGTGTACGCAGTCTAGCCAATTGACCTACTTTAAAATCTGTATCTTGAACAACTTGAGCAATTTGTCCTTTATCAGTAGGGGGTTCAGGTGGCGCAAATTGTAATAAGTTTGGATCTATGGTGAGGCCATCATATTCAAGAATAAGTGTTTCTGTTATTTTTCTTCCTCTTTCTACGGCCATCTGTAAATATTTGCTTAAACGATCGACTGCTTTAATCTCATTTATGTAATATATATTAATATCATTCTGTACGTCCATAAATGTCCTGTAAATGTGATCATTAAATAACTTCATATCCTGGTAGCACTTATATTGAAGTGCTAATAAACGTAAATTAACACGAAACATCTCGCCATTTATAGCCACTGTCCATTCTTCTATGCACTTTAATGCATTTTGTTTAAAAATCTCCTCATAATTTATTATCTCTTCAGACGTATTTTCATCTTTTTTCTTTATAGGAGGTGAGTTTTTTGCAATTTCACTATATTCTCTACTTATCAACGAACGGTATGCATCGTTTGTATCTTTAATGACTTTCAAAGCATACTTAACATTGTTCTCTATAACGAAATTAAATGGATTATTACTGTAATCTACCTTAGTATTTTTCAACTGTAGGTCTTGAAATGCTGCTTTTAGCTGTCGATACAGTTTATCTTCTCCACCTTTCCTACTACCAGAGGTTTCTTCAGATTCCTTTAATATTTTTGTCAAATCTTTGGAACAAAGTCTGTCATTTGAAGGCATATGTTTAATCATTGCAAAATAAAAATCATGCAATATTTGAAATGTTAAGATAGATCTGTAACAATACGAGAAGAAAAGATAACGAGACAGGGTAAAAACAAACGTATGTAAACATATGTATGTATGTAGAGTTACATATATTATGTAGGTACTAGACTATCAGAGAGATTAGTAAAATATTCGTTACTATTAATTCTATTAGATGATTATGTCAATTTAGAAGTCTAATATATAACATATAACTGATTACTAATTTTATTACCGATTTAATTCCGTCTGTATACATGATATGAATGTGTTCACCATAGTAGTGAGTTCCTCCATGGCCCAATTTTCAGAAATAAGCACCTGTCTTTGCTGTTGAGCATATAATTTTCTTTCATCACAAATGTGATATAACTTATTTTGCAATTCCTTTACACGACAATGCCATTCATTTTTAGTTACGTCGATATCACGCCAATCAGATTCAAATTCATTATAATCTTTTTGAAAATCACTCACTAGGTCTTGCTTATGAGAGGGTAATGATATTATTTGTTCCATCTTATCTTTAATAAATCTAGTATATGGTATCAAACAATTCATTTGCAAACGTTTAGCCAAAAACAATTGCTGCATGTCACGAATGTAAGTTTTTTCAATTTCTTCCCAACAAGTTGCCAATGCTATACCAATAATTTCTGCAATAGGTATTTCACCATAAACCCAATTTTCTTCACCAGCTAAAACTTTTAAATCTTCATTGCTTGTTATTGATTTACTTTCATTGTCACCCGATGCAGTTTCCAACAGAATAGTAGTTTTATCTGGTATATCTTCATTTGAGTCCGGTGCCTTAACAACTTCCAGCTCATTATTGAACGACATCTTGCTGGTTCTAGATCCTCGTCGTATCCTTTCTTTATATTTTCCATTCGATATTTCAGGTTTAACAGTCTTAGATTTTGTTCTTTTATCATCTGATGATGGAAAATCAAGACTACTCAGAACATTTTCACCAAATAGTTTATCACAAGATTTTAATGGCATGATATAATCACCGATAATGTATTTGCATATTTGAGCTAACAAATCTTTTTCTATAACTTCGTAGTACATACTATAATTAATTCCTAATGTAGCGTAAAATCTATCTATTAGTTCCGAATTGTCTTCCGTTAAATTCCATATAACAAACTCCTGAAGGATGTCTTCTACTTCTTGGAGCTTAATGTAACAAGTAAAATAGCTATCAAAAGGTACATCAGTTTTCTTCTTATGAGGATCATTCACGAGTTTAGACGCTCTAAATTCCTTATAAGGATCTATCTCTTTTTTACGGTGTTTAATAATGTTCTCCTCTAAATAAATATCGTCTGTGTCATCTAACTCACCTATATCAGGAGGAGCACATCCAGAAAAAGTCTCTTCTAATATCTGCGCCTGTCGATAAGAATTTGGATAATTCACAATAACAAAACCAGTAATATTTTCCTGATCTTTTATATACTCAACTATCATGGCAGCTAACAAATGGTCAGTTAAAGAATTACCAAAATTCAATGTTTCATAAGCATATTTCCCTAGATCTGCGGCAGTAGACAAAATAATGTCTTCTTCTGGTATAGATTTAGGAGTTTGCGTTTGCTTTGTATTTAAAGGTAAAGGGCCTGAAATTGCATTAACGTTGGTGTCGATAGTTTTACTAGCAACGTCCTCGTCTACTTTCATCATTCTAAGAAGCTCTTTATTTTCTTCTTCTTGAGCTGCAAGAATAAATTTATCAAAAGATAAATCTATATCAACACATCCAATCATTTCAATCTTAAATCTTCTTAAGCAAAAATTTATAGCAGACTCCAGTCGAACTACATGAATTCTTCGTAAGTTAAGCAATATTTGCATGGCAATAGTTATTGACCTATCTGGAAGACCACGCAATAATGCCTTAACAGAAAACTTTGGCAAATTGGCTGGTGGCTTTGGAGGAGGATATGGATACTTTATTTCTAGCAACGTATAAACAACGTGACCTAAAATTTTTGTTCCGAGATATTCATATTTTCGTTCTTCTGACTCTGGATCATAATTAGGTATTAAAAGATGTAATGTCCAAGGGTATGAAAAATTATGGTATTCTTTAAATTCATTTTCGTTTAAAATGTCTTGTCTATTTAACTCTAGTTTTATTATTTCTTCTTGATTAATCGCTGGTTCTTCATCAATACCTGGTTCTTTTAAAATATTCTCCATTGGATCGAGAATATCAAATATTGGTTGTTGTTTATGATACAACGTCTTCCATTCATGAATAAAGTGATCCGGAATTTCATCTCCTATTAATTTTCGAAAATACGCATATTTTGTAGCATAATCAATAATCGATAAAAGCGTGTCATAGCATATTTTATAATAAAATTGTCGTTTTCTTTTAATTTTTTCAGCATATAATTTTTTATGAAGCATGTTTTGTCTTTTTTTCTCAAAGTCTATTTCAACAACTTCTAAATAAATTTGTTCCTTTATGTTATCGAGATATTGGTTAAATTGTTGCTCCCTTTGATCAGCAAATTCTTTTTCTGCTTGTACTCTATTCTGTACTAGGTTCCGGGCCTGCTGTTTAGTTTCCATAAGCTGTGTACACATTTGCTTCTCGAACTGTGAAAGTTTCATAACTTTTTTGGCTAATTCTGTATCAAGCTTCATTTCTTCTTCAGCAACTGAAAGATCCCATAGTGATCCACTGATTACATTACACATTTGTTTCTGAAATTCCTCTGAATCCGACTTTTTGTGTATCCTGGTGTAAAGATTATCCATATAATTTTTCGCCCACTCTGAATCTATAAGAGATTTTTTTCTTTCTATTGCCTTTTTTTCCAAATCTAGTAATTGTCCATATGTATAATTTTCAAATTTGCAAGGATGTTTCAAAGCAAACTTTTCCATCTCTATTCTTTCTTTATTTTTTATTTTCTGGGATTTCTGAGTTACTGGTTTCAAAGGTGTTTTCGATTCTTCGATTTTATTTAATATTTTAGAATATTTCTGTCTCATAAAATCATATGTATCTTTAACTTGTTCTGTTTTCTTTCTTTGCCACTCAATAAATTGTTTCTCATCTAGTAAAGGTTTAGAAAGATCGTCAACAATAGATTCCTCTTGTTCATTAACTTTGTCCACTTTAAACCTGTTCCCCTTTTTTTGAACTAAACTGGATACCATTTTTCTCTCGTTTTTGATAAAATCAGTACGATCTTTTTTATCTAGATGAAGGAAAATTTGATAAAATAAACGAAGTAAAGTCGATCCTCTTCCTTCCATAATATTACTCAAATCGACATCATTCAATTGAACTTGCAAATCTTTTAACCAAACCGTCAAATATTTCCAATTATTTTTAAGATCTTCGGCAGCATTACTGGATCTTATCAAATAGTACTTTTCTTCATTGATGACATTATAACTGAGAAGAACATTGGCTATAATATTCCCGTTTTTCATCATGTCACCAAACTCTTCAGCTTCCCATTTTATTGGCCTCTGTAGACGTTCCGTAAGCCATTCTTTCAATATTTCTGCCATAATTAAATTAATTTACGTATTTAAATGTGTGTAATTTAAAAACTAAAGTGTCAAATTTTACAAATATTTTTTTTAGTATTATAATTAATAAATCTTTAAAACCTACTTTTATTAAATGCTTTAGAAAATTATGTTTGTCTTATGTTAGAAATAAGTTAAAAAGTTAGAAAACTCGAATAAATGTAAAGGAAAAGTATATTAAATATTGAAAATACAATAAATAAATACTGTATTATTTTTAGTATATATTTTAAAATACTTCTAACAAGTGACTGCTTGATAATATTTTATAAAATATTATAATTACTAGATCAATCATATTCAGGCCCACTCCTAAGCGATATTGAAATTTTGAATCGCTCGGAGCGTTAAAAGCAGTACATTACATCATTATTTATCTGTGCTAGTCTCAGTCTATCACTGTACTAGAACTTTAAAAAAATTACTGCGTTTGTTGTTGCCTGCTGTCATTTAGTATTATGACATTTTTGTAATGTTTATTTTTCACAATTTTTTATTGTATGTTTATTAATACGGTCCGCGTAAATCTATTTCAGGATGAAATGCAATGAATTCGAAAAAAGTGTAAGTAATTTTGTTGATTCTAAATATATTGTCGCATAACCTTGACTGGTATTTGTTTAATAATCACTGTATTACGTTGTCTAGAAATCTCGCCACATGAACTTGGACAACTTGGATAAAGCATTGCACGATCTAGGTATGTTAAGCGCAATAACTGAGGCTCGTCGAGACTATTTACGAGAGTCAAAAGCAAATTTTGGAGTGATGCGATTCAACACGCGCTATGTGTCCAACGTCACCGTAGGATATTGTATGAAAAGAGCGACGAACAAAAACAGACTGTGTCCGTATGTTTTGCCCGTCAGACATAGAACGAAGAGTGAGAACTCGGACGCAATAGTTAACGACGGAAACGACTCAGGATGCGAACACAGAAACAGTTTGCTGGAGCCGTCCACGAGTGGATACGGTAATCACGAGTGCGTCAAAAGTCCCGCGAAGCGCTGCCAGTCGCTAGAAAATCTCAACTTGTCTGTAGAACCCCAAGCTGGTCCAGAGACATCACCAGAAATGGAGTGTGTGTCAACTCGCATCCAGAAACTTCAAGTCGATGAATGACATAGCCACATCACAACCCAGTCTAGTGTTGTGACACCAATGGATGATGCCGTCACCAAGTGATGGACTGTTAGAATGTAGATGTAGCATTGAAGTGATTTAATGGATGTTGGTGATATATTTTTCAGTGTATGTACATGTGGATGAGGGCCCCCTTACAAAGTTTTGAAAACAGTAACAGGAGTGCCCACAATCTTATTTAAAATAATTTATTTACTTAACTGTGTGCTGGTATGTTGTCATAATATGCTAATTATTATTGAATAATTGTCAATATTTTATTTAAAATATTATTTATGTGTGTGCAAGTGCTTCCTAGTGGTGACATGTAGTAACATGCTGAAGGAATTTCAATATAAATTGAATATTATGGTGTGTTATGTTTGAAAAATAGATTATTTTTATTTACTGCTGGCTTTACAAACAGTGCAATATAAAATGCATTAGTAAGGGGGAGAGTGTAGATTGTTAATGTCCCTAGTTCCTTGTGTGATTTAATAATATTGCATGTATGACACCCATTAGCAGTAAGTATTCTATGTGTAGCTATTGTCATTAAAGATTTAAGTATATTTAAATTGCTCAAAATTCTTAATGGGTACAAATTGTGGATATGACACCAATTATTTTGTGTCTCTGTTAATATTTGTCATGGTTTGTTGAAGCAGCAGTTTATTATTTTATAGTTACCTAAACTGAATACCACCTAAGTGTTTGTTGAGAACAAATATTTTTTTGTCTAAGTCACAGATGCACTTTAGTACAAGTCTATATTTACATGTATATAAATTATCTACTAAATATGCTTGTAATATTTTAAATACTAGTGTATATCTTGCATTGTTGTCTGTATGAATTACTATAAAAATATTTCATGTTTTAATCTATAATCTTTCTAGATATCATATTTAATTTGAACCTATTCATCTGTTTAAGTGTGATTAAGTACAAAATCTCTGAACATAAACATTCACTTTTGCCTATTAGAACATAACATAGTAGTATTTCCTTTCAAATTATAAATCAGTACTTTAACAATGTTAAAATACCTGTACTTTATAATTATTGCTAATTATTAAAATATAATATAACCATAACAGAAGCAACTATTATGTTAATTTAAAAAACTAAATAGATTAAATAGGTAAGAAAATAGAATAGTTTATTATATAATCACAAAAAATGGTCAATAACAATTTGTATGTACACACATTATTATTTTTGTATGGATGTCAAAATTATTGTCATGTTATGTAATAAAAAAACAATAGTTTTAATAACCCATATAACATGCCCTATTCTAAAATTTGTTTAAATTCATAAAATAAATCGGAATATGTCACCAAGTTAAGATATCTTTACAACATAAAAATGTGATGTAAAATATTTATTCTTTATCATTAATATACCTATTTTTAACTATTTGTAAACAAGAAAAGTCACACTAAAGTATTAAATCATCCCACTTCAAAATATATTTGTAAATTCAACATAGTTTATTCAAATTTTTTCGAGTATATCAAATAAAGTATTATTAATAACTAAGCCTGTATAATTAAAATTTACACATTAATAAGACTGTAGAAGGATCTCATGTCATTCTCATTATTGGAAATAAATGCATGTAAATATTTTAGTTCAAAAAAGGGCAATGTGTTCCACAATCTAATTTTCGCTTTTGTGACTTAGCCATAGATACATATGTTTGTTAACATATTTTGTTATTTTTTTTCTTTTTTAATAACAAATATTTGAAATAAATATTGCTTTGATTTATACTATATAATTGTTTTCATTCCCCAAATCTACGACTCCTAAAAAAGAGTTGAACCAAATATGATACACGTGACCGACATTATTTCTAAGATATAAGTAGCTTGTTTTTGAAGCTACATACATATGTGGAAAAACAGTAGGTAGTAGTATAGCCCACTGCCCAGTCCATTATAGCCCATTTATAACTATTAAATTTATGTGAACTAATATTGAAAAGTGAAACAATTGGGGGAGATAAAGTGATAAGTATGTTCACATACTTAAAAAATTGAGTTTGTTGTGATTAATTTGTTAGAAATTTATTTTAACCTGGTCCTTACAGTAAAAATATCTCAATAGCATTTAAAAAATTCAAACTAATATAATAAATTAATAAGTAACGTCTGTAACGTTTTTTGTTATTATTTAGACATACCCTCCTATAAATCAGTGTTATGTCTTCTCAACAATCTGCCATACTGATCTTACTAACTTTTTGTATTACTGCGGATACTTCTTAACACAAACTATGTATAGACCATATTTCATCAAATAAACAATTCTATCCATTTATAATCGTATTTACATATGGGAGTGTAACATTAATAAATAAATAGCTTGTATAACATCACATGCGTTTATTGTTGAGGTGTTTACATTTCATACAAATTGAGGTAAATGCGCCATCTTTCTATATGAAATAATTCAAAATTAACATTACCTAAAATAAAGTAAAGATAACTTAAAAACATTTATTGATATTATTTGAGTAACACTTATAAATTAAAAAATCCACCATTAAATTAAGAACAATGCTTTAGTTCTTAATTGTAAATAATATTGCATTTGATGTCTGAAGTAATCTCTAGGTGGTCACATTGCTTTCACTTTGAGTTGCTTCATTTTAGGAGTTTTGCGTTTTTTCTCGCGCTTTTGTTCCTTGAGTTCCCAGCGACGTTGTTTTTCAGGGTCGTCCTCCTGTTAAATAATAAATACATATTATAGCATTAATAATTACAATTAAGGTTAAATTAGTTTAATAAATTCATATATTAATTGTTATTTTATCTTATTTCTTATACCCCTAAGTGATATGGATATATCAAATGAATATATAAAAATATTGTCATTATTTGATTTAAATTTTTAAAATAAAATTTTTACCCTTCCACCATCAATCCCTATTTTTATTTACAATATTAATTTATATAGCCAAACGACGTTTGTTGAGACAGCTAGTATTCTTTATTTATTTATTGTTATTTGTTGTATTACATTAAAAACACATAATTTGCTCTAAAAATTGCATCTTTTAAGTAATTCGCTAATATAGTTTTACATGATAACTGATAACGTGTTTAACATCTAATGTAAATATTATCTTAGTTATTATGTCAGTCTTATTGTAGTATGTCAACATGGAGTAACTTAATACCTAAGTATTCACGATTAAGTCTGTCTGTTATGTATTTTTTTATTTATGTTGTTTTTTATTTGATTAAATTAAGATATATTAGTAACATTAGTTGAACATTCTGGCGCTGTCACGTGTGCATGGTTTCATTCGAATCCATTAAGTTTAGTTCAGTACTTAATGTGTGAAAGAGTAACAAACATCCATCGATCCACACTCACAAACTTCCACGTTTATAATATTAGTAACATTATATAAAAGTATCATATGTGTAGCTAATAATACTGACCGCTAGGATGCGTTCCTTCTCCTGCTTTCTCTTTTCCTCTCGTCTCTGTGCGGCTTGCTCCTGGCGAGCGGCGTGAGCACCACGCAGCCACGCCTCGGCCACCTTTTGCCGTCGCTTCTCACACTTCGCTAGCGCCTGAGGAATTATTTAATTCAGTGATGCGAGGTATTCGGTGGATAATCAAGTAGCTAATATTATTTATTATCATTAATAGTGTTTTAATTTATCGACCGCGTCGCGGTTTGATCGAGACGCGGTTTGGTCGCTGAACAGCCAACACTAGATTCCCAAGTTTAGTAGGATTACTTTATTCAATGACTAGCCTCGTTCAGACGCGAAACACGTATTGCAATAAGAGTGTAGACTCAATAAGGGTCGGTTTTGATTGGAGAAGGTCGTAACGGTAGTCAAGTAGAAGTAACGGTAGTAATTCTAATTCTTAAAAAATTGTAGCAGAATTAAAATAATGTAAATTCATTAAGTAGTGAAATGGACCTCCGGAAAATTCCTAATTAGATAAAATAAATATAAATCTATTTACTGTTGCTAAATAAGTATAGTTGTAACGATATGTGTATGTTTGTTTACTGGTATGAGAAGAACTAACCTCTTTACTCAACCGCAAACGCTTGATCTTCTCAAGTAAATGGAAGACGAGTAGTAACAAGGGGCGGACTTCGTCGCCGCCGCCGTCGGGTCCGAGCGCCAGGCTCACCAGTATCACGCGCTCCGTCTCGGGGGGCTTCGTCACAGCCGTCTCTCTGAATAACAATCACATTTAAAATTGTTAGACCTACAGTGAGAATCACTGGCAGTTTTGTATATACGTTTATCGATATTTAAATACGAGATTTTTACAAAGGCTAAGGTGGGGCATCGCACTTAAAAGGTTGCTTAAGACTGCAAAAATCTGTTGTGTAATTTAAAAGAAGGGTTCGATTTCTCGCACGGCACAAACATTTGTATTCATGAGTATTCTATGTCTAATGTACATTAAACATAGAAAATTACGTTAAAAAAATTTCTGTGTTTGTATCAGTTATCTAGTACCCATAAAACAAGCTTTTGTTAGCTTAACTTGGGCCTATATGGCGCTGTGTAAGATCGTACAGATAGCAGCGGTGACTTCGTTGACTATGTAAAGATGAGGGTAGGTAGACTCACTCGATCTGCTTGGGCCCGGCGTACCGGTCGGACACGTGTATAAACTGCAGATGTCGGGCGTACTGCGTGAGCGCCGCAGTGACGCGCGCGTCGAGCACCGCACCGGTCGCCTCCGCGCACTCCGACAGCACGGCCAGCGACGGCGGCAGCCCGTGCTTGTCGCCCGCCCGCCGCTCCGGGCAGAACACGCTCTGTCGGGGGGAAAGCGGATTGTAATGGATAAATGATCTTATTGCTAACAATGTACTATTCCAGGTTGACCTAGACGCAGTGCCCCTACTAACTAAAGTATATAAAATATAATATATATGTATTTATTTCGTAATTTAGCATCCTCTCCAGAGGAACACATTAAACAATTAAAATTTTGGCCGTATCAAATAGCGGCTGAAGTAGTTAATATCATGATCAAAAAAAAAATTGATAATAAACACAATAGAGAAACAAAAAAATGTGTCATGAGACGGCTATTAATCCTACTACAGGGATTTTGATGAAACTTTACAGTAATATAGTTTATATATCAGAACATCACATAGCCTAGCATAGCATAGATAAATGTCCGGTATACAGTTACTTGAATGTAACACTTGCAATTAATTAAGGCTAGTAAGACAAACTAAATATTGTCTACTACGCACTGTGATCCCACCTTACGTTAATATCCCGCAACATATATTAAGCAAGTGTGATGCAGACGAAGTTGCGCGGGTCAGCAAGTTAGTAAATATGTCCATACCAGATCCTGCATCTCCTTGGCGAGTTTGCTGGCAATCTTCTTCTGCGCCACGCAAAGTACGAAGGGATCGCTGTCGTCTTTACCGAGTTCCACCTTCACAAGGAGCGTGTCTGTCGTGGGTCTCACCACACCTAGTGCCACGTGCACCAGATCTTGACGCTGGCAAAATATTGTTTTAAAACTGTAGTTATTATATCACATTCAAATTAATCTGATTTTTATTATTTTTACATTAGGTATATAAATATAAGACCAGAGAAATTGTAAATCCACATTTAATATAGTGATTCTACACCGGTTTCTAAAACTGAGTTTATAATAATTTCCTATCACTGGAGATTCAGTCAGATATAATAACAAAAAATTGGTAATAATAAAATGTTTTTGGGAATTTAACTCACAACTTACGAGTATATAAAGTTAAGCAATGGCCCTACATCTAATAAACAAAAAACCGACAGACACGTTTTTGCATTTATAACTAATGAGTTGTAAATGTATCTGTCTGTTTGTTACCTTATATCAGGACAAATGTCTTAACGATATTTAATAGGAAGGCTATTTTTTATATCTTTAAATATAATCTGGAAAGACGTGAAAAAATGGGCACGAAATTTAGTGCAGACGTCGGGGTAAGCTAATAAATAATAATACGCAAAAAAGCAGCTACAAATTTGATTACTTGACTATTTGTAGTTGCTTGTTAGCAATACACATGTCATTGATACCTTGATGAGTTTGAGTGTTAGTAGCATGCCTTCGCAGCAGAGGCGGCCGCTGCACCACATGGTGAAACAGTGCTCTGCCTCCCGTCGCCACCCACTACCTTCCGCTGATACAACATCCGCGCCAGACTCCCCTAAAAAAAGTTGAATATAAAAAGCTCTTGGACGACGCTTATACAATGTCAAGCTATAACTGTGACAATAACATGAATTTTCGGACATTTTTTTTTTATACTGGATCTTTTTGTTTAATTGAGATAACTGACGACCCACCTGATAAATGGTGACCTTCACCCATATAACATATATATGAACAGCATATATATGTTGTATAACAATAATTAAGTGTGTCCTTGATATTTATTGTCACCCTCACAATCATAGCTTTTTATAAAAAAAATATATAATAAAAATAATTTTCTTCACAAATTTTGTACAAATAATTTATGAAATCCCTGACTTCTGAAGTAGGTATAAAAAATATCTGTATCAGAAGTCACGCTTCTTTATTCATGACATCTTAGTAGTCTGTCAGTCCTCAGTCCTACGAAACAAACAGCGCAAGTTTACCTAGCCAGTAACATAAAAAAAAAAATTAATAAAATACATACCAACTAATGTAAAATTATCATCTAATAATGGTTTATGCAACTTCAAGAAGTTGACTGCAATAGATGTGTTCTTGGCGCGTCCGAACGCATACGCAAGTGCGTACGCCGCCAGCGCACAACACAGAATGCCCTCCAACCAGTATGCGTCCCATTGCGGTCGCATTACTATAGGAACCTACAACAAAAAAAAAGAGTTTTAAAAACCAGTTCACTAGTTTTTAGTATATTGATGATCATAAAAATATTAAATTAAATTTATTTGTTCCAAAAGTGATACATGCATTAGATAGTAATTTTATTTAAACTTGGTTTGTTACAGGTGTTTTGTTTAGACACCAGCTAAGATGTTGAGCGGAGCGCGTATGTTCTTCAAAACTCGACCTTCAAGGTCAGATTTTTTTTAATGGTAAACGAAGGAGGCTCTATCTTCCACTAAATTTTGGTCTCGATCAATCAAAAATAGGAAATAGTGCACTGAAATCTAAGATCCACTTAATTATTTAGTTTTCACTCTTAGTCTTTACAGACATGTAAAAACATAGGTGAATCTGTTATTGATGTCATGGTGAACGCAACACTTGACATGCCCCTTTCACTGGGTATGGTTGAATTAAATGTGACAGTGGGTGAATCTACATTAAATTGGTAGGTTTTAATAACATATACTATGACACTAGATAGTTTACCTTCGAAATTGTAATCTTTGGCGCTTCAGCTGCTCGTGGCACATTGTCCTGGAATCCTTCAAACTCCTCTGGATCTTGGAAGTGCTCAAATTCATTATCTTCATCCTGTTTTTCATTAATAGTCCAATAATATTAAATAATTGACAATAATATTAAATTGTTGACTAATGAAAATAAAAATAATGCAAATAAACTTATGTTAACTCAGTATAATAAATGACAATTATCTCTATTATCCTAAAAATTTTAATTTTTTGTTTGTAATAAATAAATTACAAACATACTTCACCAATATTAGAAATTATTTCACACAGAAAACTCAATTACTAACAAGCAACAAGGGTAAAATGTTATATTTATAATAATAGCCCCTTTCTTTAAATTTAATGAAGCAGGCAATGTTTATGGAAATAACTAGTATACTAAATCATCATTACAAATATAAAATGAAGTCACTATCGCGGTCTGTCCCTATGTATGCTTAAAACTTTTTTTAGATTTCTAAGTGTTTTAATAGATAGAGTGAATATAGAGAAAGGTTTATATATATAATACATACATGTACCCCCGTGCGAAGCCGAGACGAGTAACTAGTAATATATAACATACTCATGAAAATGAAATGTGTACTACAAACCTCAACCAGTATTTCATCCTCTATATCAGTATCTGGCACAAAATTATCTTTGGGTGTACGCAGTATATCATCTTTGGCTACTTCATGGAAATCTGTTATAAATAAGTAATAATGTAACATACAACTGACCTTACACTTACAATAGACTAACACACATTGACTATATCTGTGATATAGTCGAGAATCCTACTAACATATACTAGAAAACCATATTGACATAAGGTGAGGCACCTTATGTCAATATACCTTTTACAGTATCAATATATTTATATAAATAATACAATAAAAGAGGGGAATGGACTGTAATCAGAGACAGATATGAAAGGGTGTAGGTATGAAGGGTCATTCCTTCATACCTACATCCTTTCATACCTGTCTCTCAAGACTCTGTCAAGAGTTAATGTTATAACATTGTAGGACTGACATATACAGAAAATAGGTATCTCTATGAGTAACACAAATTAAATAATATATGATGGTGTAGTTAGAATATGAAATATGTCTAAGGTATATTAAAACCATTTGTACTTTACTAACACAAGCATGGAAGTTATATATATTTTGTGTTAAATAGATCACTTGACATATACAGCCTAAATACAGATCTTTAGAACTGTTCTATAGAAAATATTAGTAGATATATTGAGTCACATATTCTACCTATCAATGGACCGTCTTCATCAGGATCAAACTGTTCAAATTCTGCGAAATCATCATCCTCCAATGTACTGTCCTCATATGCTTTTATTGTGTATGCACCACACAGAAGCAGTGCCACTGGTAACAGCACAAGACGCATGCTGGCTCTATAAACATATTAATATATAAGTACCAGAATTATAAAGAAAACTGTGTAAATCACCAAACTATGTTTAATACTAACTAGTAAAACACAACATAGTAACTAATAATAAAACACAACATTCAACTATAAGTAGGTTAAGCAAATACATAATTCATTATATATTACTGACAATAATGAAGACTGAAAGTTTTACTGCAAACAATAGTTAAGTAGGTAATCTTATCATACCTACAAGGTTATTTTAAGGATTTTACATGGCTTCAATGATTTCCCTCAAGTATACCAAGAGACAACAAGAGACAGAAAATAATATATTGATGATCACTAATGAAATTTATGTCAATTATAATAATTACAAAGTATTTATTGAAAATATTAGATATAGAAAAATATATAGTATTCTTATGGTTTTTCTCGACATAGTGATGATAATAGTATCCGATATTACGTTTAACTGATATTTATTTACAGTATCTTAAATACATTTTTCTGTAATATATTGAAGTAGACCTATTTTCACAGCAAAGAAGATTATGTGACACTGAAAAATATTGAACTAAATTTAGAATGATTTCACACAAATGTTTATACGTTCTTTAAATTTTATTACAACCCATTACCTGGTTTTATTTTACAAATAATTAACTATAAATAATTGCTTCATTCACTTATTAATTACAATATCTTTCCTTTTATTAAAAACAATTTGCTGACTTTCGAGTCATCATATCCATAGAATGACAGAATTGTAAATTGTTTACGGGAACGGAATTTTGTAATATGCGTACAAGGTTATGATTGGGCAAAAAGGTTGACAGTTCTACTTAAACCAATCAAATTGTTCGGAACCATGATTTGTAAATGAAAACTTGATTTCTCTTGATTTCATTTCAACACGCGTCACAAGACAAATTCTAAGATGACACATAATTTGACAGTTCTCGTGCTTTGACAACTATTGACAACTTATCATGGATATCCCACGCTTCATCCATAATTTCTTGAACAATAAGGAAAATATTATCATTATAATTAATATTTCTACAAATATGAATTGTATAAAGATAATAATGTGAAGGAAATATAATACCAGAATACTACTGAAAACGATGGCTACAGAAGCCAAATCCTTTTGCCTTAAAAAAAACATTAACTTGTACTTTCAGAAGAATGTTCCAAGTACACCCTTAATATAATAATACCTTTATGGTTCAAAAGACATGACATATTTACACAAGAATATAGGTACCTGAAATTGATTTTATTTAGATTTTTCAGGTGACCCCTCAAATTTGCAGAAACGTTATAGGTTACCAAAGCAGCATTAAATATTGTAAATAAAAAGATTCGATTTATAATTTCTCTTTTTTTATATTTAAATAAGCACCACACATTTACCAAATTGCCAATAGTGTTTTACGTTACCTTCAAAGGATGATCACTGTCTACCAATAGATAAGCCGCTCCATATTTACCATTCTCAAATTGACAATACCGTCCGCTATTCTGATATAGATATCCACGTATAGTGGAATCGTGTGTTGATCCTGGCCATCGGACAACTATATCCAGTATCAATAAATTGGCATCGCTGATTCTTTGCTCATTTATTGACAAGTACGATTTTCGATTTCGAAATAGCTTTACATCTTCACCTAGTTTTAGTAATAAAATCAATTAACATAGGTAAAGAAACATCACATAGGTACAATGTTAAAACAAGTTTTCTGTAGATACCCGGTGATTATTTTTTTATGTGAGTACATATGCACAACCTACTACGTTGGTTTCCCAATTGTTTCTCATGCTAATTTATAAAACTGTCCTTTTACAGTAGATATCATCTTCTTCACACTCTGGAAAACGTATGATTTCGGTTTGGAGAGATACTATTGCATTTGCAACACGTTTTATAATGCGACTTGTAGCAACGCTAATTACACCTAGATCACCCACAGTTAATAAAAAATTGCCAGTTGCAAAGAATCTCAATGTGCACAAAACTTGATTTATTGGCTATTTCTGAAACGATAATATAGTTAGTTTTGACATAACATATAGTAGGTACATTATGTGGAGATTTTATTGAATAAAGCATGTTCTTTAAGAAAGTTTCATTAAATAATATTCAGTTTACTCACTAACATCTTCATGAAGAAATCTATATCATCCTATTTATTAAAGTTATTTTGTCGTGGACGGTAAACTCGTGCTCTTCTAAACAATCTGTGGTAAAATAGCAAATCTGCCTGCCGTTTCATTGTTTCCAAACTCTAAATATTCCCACACAGAACTCTGCATTTCGTGAAATAATTATTAACACGCAAGATTTGGTTAGAAATCACGAAATAACTGTCACCTAAGAGTTAAGGAGTGAAAAATCGAACTCCTAAAATATACCCCTAAGGATTTAGGAGGATGGTGAAAACCAATTTCATACTACCGGACTCCTAAAGGTAGGTAACTTAGGTAGACGTTGGTGAAAACTTAAGTATGATCTAAAATATATGTATAATATAGTATATAGAGTCAGTTTTAGTGTAAATTATCGTACTAACTATTGTTTAACTTGAATTAATGTAACCTTTTTTAAACCATCATCCCCATATGTAAGTGGAAGATAAAATATTTTGTAATTGCAAATACAAGTATGTTCTTTTCTCATTTATCTTAATTATTTCCGTTATATCGTTGTAGGCAACTTTGATGAACTTTTTTGGAAACAGGTTATAGTAGTGTATACCTACCTTATATATGTAACAAGTTTTTTTATAAGTTTTATATTGAGCGCTAAATTATTCAGTTGTAAAATGTCACATACCCTCAGATATAGCGGTAGAGTCGGGTTCTGAATAATAAGGACACTGACATTTTGTAGATCGGATTTAAATCCCATTATGTTACTGTCGATCAAAGACCTTCATTTCATGACAATGGACTTAATAAATTGTAAACATGTAAATATGATTAGTTTTTTTTTTAAGTTATATTCAAAACGGTTGTCGCGGATTAGATCCCACAATACAAACCTTTGCATTTAAGGCAATGATTACTGGATGTTTTCTATATGTAATAACATAATACAATTGTATATAATTCTGTATTTTTGTTAATAATATCTTAATTGCTAAGCCGCAATCGAACATCTCTGCACTACGCTAAAGTTGACTAGGAGAGAATTTTATGACATTAAGTCCACCTTTTTTACCATTTATAGTAAACTAATATATAAAAAAAAAGTATATAAATAATTGTATCAGTAGTTTAGTCATAATGACACAATCAGTAAAAATTCTGCCTAATTTGGGACTAGATATGACTTACAGTTAGTAATGAAATAAATAAAATAAGCATTTATTCATGCTGGATCTTATTACCTACTTGCACAAAAACTGCAATAGTTGAGAAGAACCTTCAGTAAAGTAAACTAGAATATTATTATTATTTTAAATGATTACATTACACAATGATTACACAGCGTAGGTATATGTCATAAATTTTCAATTCAGCTCGCGAGAATATTTGGTATGCTATTCAATATTTATGATACCTATCTTTTATTAATAAAGTCTGTCGCGACTGGCCGTCTCTGATCACTCTAACTGATTTATTTTTTTAACCAAGGAACTGTTTATTTGATCATTTTGTGTTATGAATAGATGCTATTTGGTGTTACAGTAGTAGAATAGTAGATACTTTTATTTTTGAAAACGTGTAAATTTATATATATAAATATTGCTTTGTTATAGATCTAGTATCTTTATATTAATATAAAACAATTTCGCCGCCGCTGTCTGTTCTCTATATATCTTTTAAATTACGCAGTTTTAATGCAGTTTTCAGTAATCGATAAAGTGATTCAAGAGGAAGTTTTTTTATTATATTTTATTTTTTACTTATATACTTTTTTGGACCAGTTACAGAAAAATATTAATTAATATAAAAATAAGTATATACAATGATGAGTACAAAAGGCGGTCTTATCGCTAAGCAATCTCTAATAGGCAACCTTTAGGTAGACGGTGAAGATATAAGAAAAAGAGTAGGTTGTGTAAATGAGAACACAACTAATATAAGTTTTATATATAATACATGGATGTTATAGTATAGAACAATTGGCATTCCAATTTAATAAAATTACCAAATGAAGCACAAATTACTTTGATGCTGTTAATCGCTTTATTCATCATTGAAACTAAATTAAGTGATTAAATAAGTAGATACATTATCCTACTTTGCTTGGCCATTTACCCAATACGTAGCTACCTATGGTTTACGTAATTAGTTTCTTTATTATTAAATACATTTAATGACTATATTAATTAATTTAGTAGGTGGTCCATTTAATATTACGGATGTGCAACAGAATTTGGTAACTTGCATAATATGAATTTCTAGTCGCCATCGTACGGATGTGGTCACAAAACAAGAAAGTATACAAATAGATCTTTATTATACAGTTTGATATTGTATTACCCTTAATTATTTTTTTAATGATGTAATAATAACCGTGAATAATTCACACAGCGCCATCTAGCCAAAAGTAATAGTGTAGACTATACTATATTATAAAAACAACAATATAATATTATGTATGTATTTACAATAAAAAAAAAGTATTTACATCAGGTGCCTATAGTCAAGCGCATGAATATAAGTGAACCAGTGACCATCGGAAGTAAAGCGGTGTGCTAAACCGCTTATCCACCGGGGCCATGTTACACATAGATACATTGCCTGGCCTTTATCCCATTATTTAGTGTCGGCGCAGTAGGTGTAACATCCTCTTCCAGTGATCCCTACACGCTTTTATACATATCAATACAAATCGTACAATTCATTCATACACCCAGACCGATACAAACAATTATACTCATGAATACAAATGTTTGTACCATGCGAGGAATCAAACTCGAAACTGTCGGAGGTAAGGCGGTGTTCTAAACCGCTACCACTAAGGCGCTGTATATGTATTACTATATACATAGTAAAGTGCTATTTTCTCATGTTAGTACTGTAAAACTGGCTGAGTATTACATGTGGGCGTAGATACACCGGTCTTGATAGGTTCAGTTCAATATAAATACACAATTGCAAAACCCGTTCCACAGATCTTGAACTTGGCGGAGGCATTTTATATTCACGCTTAATGAATAAAGCTTATATTATAAATATTGCAAAAACTAAACATTACAAACGACGCTGTTTATAAAACTTATTCAATATAAAATGTTTGAATATTTATTGACGTATTAGGTTACGTAACTTATCGAGTTACTATGTGATGATGTCTAGATATTATGGCATATTTATTTAATTTATATAATTATAATACAATATTGAATATACCTGCCGCCTTACTAAAAATTTTCTGACTTCCGCAAAAATAACATCTTCACATACACCTGCGCCACCTCTCTCATATTTGGCTAAGGCCCGTGTGGTTGACCTTAAGATAAAAAAGAGTAAAGAAAAGAAACATAAAAATAATAATAATCTTTATTTATCTCAAATAATAAACGATTACAATTGCTGCTTATAATAACATTTTGAAGCAATAATCGAGACAAAACGGTAAATAACGCAGAAGGGGCAGTGAGTCCACCCTCTCTGTTACTTTCTTAGAGCCTCAATTAGTAAATTAATAAAGGATATATAACATAACATATTATATAATCTACTCAATATAAAATCGACAATCGAATAAAAGATCGAAGACTACGATAGCACTTAAGTTCCAAACTGTCTTCTACTAACAAAGTAAACATAAAAATTTGATTATAACTTAACAAAATTACAAACTAATATAATTCGTCAATAATTATTAATACCCCAAATTATTAGATATTTTATCTGGCTTCGCCATGCCACGGCTACATACCGTCTACATAGATAAATGAACGAAATCCTTATTTTGTTATACAATTATAATATAATATAATTTTATTTTAAATTTATTTTATAATGTAATTTATATACATAGGTACTAGAGCCTAATATTTTATTATCCGTTCTATGTACTGATTATTGTTTCTGAAATCGGCAAATTAGAAACGGAAGGATAGCACACTAATTACTTTAACAGCGGATCAGAAAAAATTGTAAGGATAATTACTTGAGTGCGCTAAACCGCAATAATATGTTTCTATGTATTAAAATAAATCTAGAAGAACGCAGTTATAAATAAATAGAAAAAATAAATTAGATTTTTATAAAAGAACATTTTAAATTATAAGAAAATAGTAGTCTACCGACAAATGTAGAGAGTTTGAAAGTTTTGAATATTTTTATTTCAAACATAATTAGTTTTGTATAAAACAAAATTATATACCTATTCAACAAAATTATATTTAATTCTTTTAAAATATGTTATTCTGAGTTTGACATGATTGCAATCGGCTTGAAGATTATAGGGATATTAAAAATATATACATAGCTATAGTACATATTTATCAAAATTGTCTAAAATCTTCAAAAATCTTTGGAAAAGTATTTGAAAGAAAAAAAAGTCGTAGATACATTATCTTGGCCAGTTAATATACTTAATATACCTGGTCAGCCTTAAGATAACGTATACATGTTTTCAAATGAACATTATTATGCTGTAAGATGCTGTAACATCATCATGTATGAACTATATCTAACAACCTTGTATATTATACCTACATAGTAAAATTATTTATGAGGAAAAAATACCAAAATTCAGATTTATATATTGTATTATTGTAATCGGACCTCTAAAATAAAGCTGATAAAATTTCACGGAACATGGTGAATCAGTCCAATCTGGTCCATATAAAGTCTCCAAAGGCCATGTTCATTGCCAGTCGGTTGTGGTTGCGCGCGAACATACGTCGTCCATTTAAATTAGTTTTTTTTTTTATTTATATTTTTAAATTTCCGCCACGATGGCGTCAGCCGTGATTAAGTTTAGTGCCATAATGATGCTAATCGGCGTTTGTGCAGCTGATGTCTGTTAGTATTGTTTTCTTATTAGTTCGTCTTTCTAAAAATTAATGTTCACACTTATTTTTTAAAGATACCTATAATAATAATTTGTGATCATTAATATTTCTTTAAAAAATATGAGTGACTATTACACCTGATTGTATATAAACAGTTCCCTTTGCTTATCCCATACTAAACCAACATAAATCAAACAATCACAGTTCTAGATATTAAATTTAAAATTAGTTCTAGATATCTATTCTTTCCTATATTTGTTCTAACAAATATAGGAAAGAATGGCATTATAAAATGATACCATACAATAATTACTATAAAAAATGTACATTTGAAAAACGTTAATTTTAATTTTTTAACCTACATGGATTTAATTGATTAAAGCAGGTAGTTTGTTAAATATTTGACGACCTCGGTGGTCTAGCGGTCTAGCATACCGCTTTACGACCGATGGTCGCGGGTTCGATTCCTCGCACGGCACAAACATTTGTATTCATGAGTATGATTGTTTGTATCGGTCTGGGTATTTTCTATGTATAATATGTATGTATTTAGGAAAAAAAAATATCTATGTATTTGTATCAGTTGTCTAGGACCCATAACACAAGCTTTAGCTAGCTTAACTTGGGTCTAGATGGCGCTGTGTGAATTGTCCTGAGATTATTATTATTATTATTAAATAATATAAATTTAATGCCAAAATGTTTTCTACACTTTAAAAAACAATAGTTAAATCAGGAATTTCAAGAATACCTTTCCATTTTATAAGTATCTATATACCGTATAATAAGACACTACATGTTTTTTTAACCAATCCAAACTAAAATCTTTGCGGTATAATCAAAACAACAAAAGTAACAAAATAATAAATACATAAGCGAATTTAATAACCAGAAACATAAACTACTGCCGGTTTTTCAATTAGCTAAAAATTCAATTCCATGTTGATAGTAATTACTCATATAATTGCGTAAAACTGGCCTAATTAATATTATTACTGGCAGTTTGGTCACTTAATATCTCGTACTTTTTGTATATATTTTTTTTAAGTTTGGATTTTCCCTTCTTTGAAATAGGCAAAGATTCTAGCCCTTTACAGCCATTGTCTTCGGTGATACTCTTTGAACATTAAATTTTTTATATGTCATTTTAGATAATTATATATTTTTCCTTATATTTTGCTATGTTCCGTAACAGAGAAATAAACGATTCCAAGAAGATATTGTTAGAGACTGTTATGTACTTATATCAATGAACCTCGCTCCTAACATATATTTTAAATAATTTCTTTGTTGTTATTTCATCTTCTTTTTATTTTACCTAAACAATCTACAAATTATTCTATTTTCTCCTTAAATTTCTAAAGAATTAGGTATAGGTTGATCAAGAAGTCACGATGAATATTATTATTTTTGTTTATTGGTATTGTTATGAAAACAGCTAACGTAAAATTTTGAATTCAGCTGTCTTTAGTGGACTGTATTTACGACAATTGGATTTGAGCAAGATTGATAATTTGGAAGGCACTCACCTTGTACTGCGAGGATTGCCGGTTCGGTTTCAGCAAGGCTTCCCAGAACTCCGGGCTTGTCCGAACTTACCTTTTGAACGGGTTACCTGTTTACCGCCAAAACCGACAATAGGTGCTTTCCAGTATCAACTTGCGTTCCTTTATTATTTCGTTAAGAATATTTAGTTAAGAAATCTATATAAAATAATTTAGTTAAGAAATCTATATAAAATATCGACAATTACGACAATTACGACAGCGATCATCAGAACACTTTTTTCGACAACGACAAAGGCGAAAAAACTCCCACCCTCGTAATCTCTTTTTATTTTTTTTTTTTTTTTATTATTTACGGCATTGGATATCGCGATAATGTTGCCGTGCGTATTATTGTGAATAGTGAACATTCCGCCCACCTAAATGCAACGTATTTAAAGCGACATAAACAAAAATTAAATGTGACAACAAAATAAAAACTATGGATCCTAATATTGATTGACATATTTTTAAACTAATTTTAACTAAATAGTGCGGGAAAAGAAAAACAATAATAATAAACAAAAAAAAAAAGAATTACACATTTTAATTAGCCATAGGTAAAGGACAAATTTTAACAACTGGTCGTTTGTATTGACCAGTCGCAGTTTTAACTGTCACTACCCTACAAACACCATCAATTCCTGGGTGTAGAGCGACAATGCGACCCATAGTCCATTTTAAAGGACTCGATTGTTCATTTATGATTAGTACTAATGTGCCAATAGTTATATTAGTGTAATTTTTGTTCCATTTAGCTCTTTGATTAAGCGTATGAATATATTCACGTTGATAACGGCGCCAAAAGTCCTGATGCATTTTCTGAACTAACTTCCATCGTTGGAGAACGCTAATAGATTGATTAGTAATATTCTCTTCTGGAAGGGACGACAAGGGTTCTAATGTCAGAAAGTGACCTGGTGTCAAAACCGACAGATCATTAGCGTCACAGCTAATAGGCGATAGAGGTCGAGAATTCAACATAGATTCTATTTGTGTTAAAACTGTATAGAACACTTCAAAGGTTAATCTTTGAAGACCAATAACTCGAGCTAGATGAGTTTTCACCGATTTTATACCCGCTTCTGCTAACCCATTAAAGTGTGGACTACCAGGAGGGCTTAACGAGAATTTAATTTCCTGAGTTTCTGTTACCTTTTTCATAACCGAGTCAAGATAATTGCTAGCCCCAACGAAATTTCTCCCCTGATCCGACACAATATGGCTACAACGACCTCTTCGCGCGATAAACCGCTTCAACACAGCTAAAAAGGCTTCAGTAGAAAGTTCCGACGCCAACTCGATGTGGATAGCTTTTGTGGCAGCACAAATAAAAATACAAATGTAACCTTTATACGTTTTTACGCCACGACCCCGACCTAATGCAATATCAAAAGGACCCCCGTAATCAACCACAACGTTCGAAAAGGGTTTTATCTGATTAACACGATATGTAGGCAGATTTCCCATAAGAGGAGTTGGAGCTGGTTGAGGTTTAACACGAAAACAATTTACACAATTAGCGATCACAGAACGAATCGCTCTCTTCGGCGACAAAATCCAAAAACTTTGCGCGAGAATATTAAGGAGAGTCTGTGCACCAGGGTGCATAAATCTCTGGTGACAATCTTCAATTATAAGTTGTGTGAGACGATGATTGCGAGGTAATAGAAGGGGATGTTTGATACTATAATCTACTTTAGCATTTGCCAAGCGTCCGCCCACCCTGACGAAACCAGCATCATCCAGAAATGGCGACAACTTACGAAAGTTTTTGGGAAGAGAATTTAACCGACCATTCCTAATCATATCAATTTCCTTAGAAAATGTATGTAACTGCACGTGTTTAATCAAAAACATTAAAGATTTGTTTATTTCTAACGACAATAAAGGACCAACAAAAATTTTATCAAAATTGTTTTTACGAGAATTATGAATGAATCGAAAAGTAAACGACAATACACGTTTCAACTTTGATAACGACGAGAATTTATTTATTAAGTAGTCAATAAAATGGACTTCAGAAGAAGTATGAAGACACATAATCTTCTGCTCTGCTTGCACATCAGCAGAAGATGGAATTAATGTAGACTCCGGCCAGTTTTCGTCTGGTTCCGAAAGCCATTTAGGTCCATTCCACCAATTCCCATTCTTAGCTAGCTCAGCTGGATAAATGCCACGTGATCCGACATCCGCAGGATTAAAATAGGTACTGACATGTCGCCAACAATCAGGAGAGATAAGTTCCTGAATGTGACTAACTCTATTAGCAACAAATGTATGCCATCTGGACGGGCAGGATTTTATCCACGACAAAGCAACACTAGAGTCAGACCAAGCAACGATATCTTTTATTTCACACAGAGGTTTTAAAGCACTTAACACCGAACTCATTAAATCTGCTAACAAAACTGCAGCTTGCAATTCCAGTCGAGGTAACGATAATTTACGAAGTGGTGCAACCTTAGTTTTTGCACAACAAAATTCAACAGAATAATGACCATTTGTATCGACAGACCGACAGTAAATAACAGCACAATATCCACGTTCTGAAGCATCACAGAATCCATGGAGTTGTACGGAGACGAAAGAACCTATCATACGACGGGTAATTGAAATAGACGACAAAGACGAAAGTTGTGATTTAAATTTCGACCACTGCTTAGCTATTTCCAGGGGTACATCGCTGTCCCAAGAAACACCTGAAGTCCAGAGTAATTGCATAAGAAACTTAGCATAAAATGTTACAGGACCGAGAAAACCCAACGGATCATAAATACGCGCAATATCTGATAGTATGACACGTTTCGTGAGCCGCCTTTCTTCAAATTCAGCAACCCTAAAAGTAAAACAATCTAAATTTGGTATCCACAAAAGCCCTAAAATTTTAAGTGTGATATCCGAAGTCTCTTCGAAGCTCTTAAATTCCTCTGAATACAAATCAGATGAATCGAGATCATTCAAGAAAGCTTTGTGGTTAGAAGTCCATTTTCGTAAATGGAACCCATTCAACGACAATATTTTAGTTAGTTCTGATCTTATGACTAAACACTTTTCGATGGAATCAGCTCCTGACACAACATCGTCAACATAAATATCACGGCTAAGCACAGCTGATCCCGTTGGAAACTCAGCAGCGGCATCCTCAGCGATTTGAGCAATAGTGCGGAGTGCTTGATAAGGAGCAGAAGATACGCCATATGTGACTGTAAGGAGTTTATAGTCACGAATAGGCTCATCAGGAGACGATCGCCACAACACACGTTGATACTCCGAATCCTCATCAGAAATCAAAATTTGACGATACATTTGTTTAATGTCACCTGTAAACACTACAGCGTGACAACGGAAACGCAACAATAAATCAGTAATATTTAACTGAAGCTTAGGACCAGATAAAAGAGTGTCATTTAAGGAGATACCATTAGTATCCTTAGCGCTGGCGTCAAATACAACACGAAGAGGA